TCCAGTCGAGGAAAGTTTGGCACCTTTGGCCGTTTTAATACTGCACGCAGGGTAGATCCCCACGCTAGGGCGTTGTTGCTCCAGCTCATCGGGAAGTATTGCACGAGTCAACGTGTGAAGGCTTACCCTAGGAACATGAAAGTCTGAAAGCTCGAGAGTCGCCCAGCTTCAGGATTCAGTAGGTGAGAGCCCAGCTAGGTGGGGTACCTTGACAGCCAGCGGTGTTTTTTTTTTTGCGAGGTGGAGATCCGCTTGCAGAAGCCGTGGCCGTACTTCCCTCGTTTTGAAGCGCAGGACGGTGTTTGATGCCCGCATGGCCCATGCCCAAATCATGAAGAGCTAGTAGGCTGACGGGCAAACTTTGGCGGCAACACACTTGGCTTCTGCAATCAATGTCTTGGATTATTGGCTCCTAAGAATGGCCTTCCCCCTCACCTGATTTTTCTTGTGCCTCCAAGCAGCCACCCACCACTTTGCAACCTCTGTTGCTCAAGGCCTGGAAACCTCATACCCACGCCCATGGCAAAAACGGCTTTTGCCCTTCCGGATTGCAATTACTTTTCGCCGGACTCGCCATTGAAGAGGGAGTTCTCTTCGAACCCCCGACCGACCGGACAGCGAGTACTGAGGTTGACCTTCAAAGGATTAGCAAATTCAGCTGGAGATCGTTCTCCAGACGCATCGCTCAACGTTGGGTTAGTTTCGCTCGAAAGCCTTTGGCCATGGAACGGCCAGGACTTGGTCAAGGGCTGCCCCTGGAAGATTTTGGAGATGCAGGGGAAGCGCAATACCGTCTTCATCGGCTCCTCCGTTTGCTTTGAGAGCGTCCTCGACGTCGTGTGTTACAACCAGCTCTTGGCGCGCAAAATCTGCGGCTAGAAACGGTGCAAAGCGACAGTGGCGATGCACAACGCACCCCGGCGAGCCAACACTCGGAAATAACAGAGGTATAGTATCCCCACCCCCTTAGTGTCCGAACATGTGGGGGGATGTACGACGATTCAATTGTTACAACAACATTCCGTCATATTATTTCCTACGTTTGCGGTTTGTTGTTAGGTGGCACTCGCAAACAGAAGTGATGTTAGCGGTGTTCCTATCGCTTAGGGCGACATGGCACTGGCTCACCGTGGTAATTTTGTGATAGGTCCCTACCCTTGCAACAATCGTGAGGACTGCAGGGAGAGATATTTGACTTTTTACACTCCTTTTTCAGCGCGGCCATAAGTGGATGGGGCTAGAAGTCGCATGAGGCTTGCTTTTGCAGCTTGTTGATTTGTTTTTAAGGCCACTGGGCTTAAAGGATTGAGGAGCCTCACCGTGTGCCATGCCTTGTAGATAAGGTGGCCTCGCTGTTTGCACAATACGTGCAAAAATTGGTCAGGCTCAGTGAGCCGCGGTCATTGGTGTGCGGAGTTTCCGAAGTCCCTATATTTCCCTTTTTGGCTGTTTAGAACATCACCTTTTTGGCCCATGAAAGGTGAGTATCCCTTGGTGGGGAGGGGAAATATAGGGAGCCCTGAGTTTCTATAGGGTACCTCCCCCATTTTTGTCGAGGGATCCTTCTTAGACAACCTCTAGAAACCCCGGCCGGGGAAACCGGCCGGTTGTCGAAAAGAAGGATTGAGAAGAATGGGGAGCCAAGCCCTAGAGAGTGCAAAAGGGAGCGAGTCAACCCCAAGAGAAAAAATCTGGGACAGCCCCAAAAAGGAAATTTGATCTCCACTGGAAGGGGAGCCCGTTTCATCGGTGCTGCGCGTAGGTCAAACGACCTGCTCGCTTTTGGTTACCAGAGGGGGTGTTCATCGACAAGAGTCCTCAGAACGAACTTGGAGGATTCCCATCGAGGGAGCCATGGCCTTTTATAATGGGAGTTCCTGACATGGCACACATGAACAGAATCACGGCGTGTGTGACGATTCATTGATTTCAGGCAGCCCTCCCTGCTGATCAATCAAGATCAGCAGAAAATAAGATCAAGATCAGGAGAAAATAAGAGAGAGAGAGAGAGAGAGACTCTGCTTCTGGAGCAGACGGCCGAAATATATTTTAAGCCAATGGTATCTAGAGTTTTGAGACTGCGAGCGCCTTGAGGAAAAGGAGCCTCCTCCTTCGTGCTTCTGCTTTTGTGCGCCCCACATGCCGAGCGGCACCTTTGGTTTGCTCGTTTTGGGGTTGGTGTCCATTCGCCATAGAACGTTCTTCATTTCAATGGCTCATGGGGGCTGGGGGGGAGGGAGGGGAGGGGGAGGGAGCCCCAAACCCCTCCCCTCCCTCCTCCCCCAGCCCCCATAAATCGCCATTTGGCAAGTAAGGTGCTGGGGGGTCATTCCATGTCGTCCGCAGGGTCGCTGAGGGCTTTAAAGAAGTTACCCTCCCAGGGGTCCTGGAAGAACCAGCAAGATTGATGTTCCTAGATCCGAGGCCTTTAAGCATCTGAGTTGGGAAGAGCTTAGGTTCATCCTTTAGAAGTAAAGGGCTAAGGTTTTGAATTGGAAGTTTCCCCACCCGCTCAGCCACCCCCCGCTCCCAAAAAAGGCAAGAACAAAGGAGGCGACAACATATGGGGATTAACAGAATCAGGGCCTTTTGTGGGCAACCCCGTTTGCATAACAGTTTGGCCTTACTCTTGTCAAATAAGAAAAATGTGTTTTGTCGGATGGTTTGGGAACCACTTCAAAAAGAAGGAACCCCCCTCATGTTTGTCCGGATTTGTTTCCCCGTTGTTTGTTTGTCTCGTTTGTTGGCGCGTTTTTGCCCGCATGTTTTTCGGTAAACAACAGTATTATCAAAGTGACGCTCAAGACAGTCACAGGATTCTGAACAAGGAACAACCTTCGTATAACAGCGACACGGCAATATCAATCTGCCATAGTAATGATCAAACATTAGGAGTTTCAACACAAGGAGGTTAGGGTCATGATGATGCAGAGCAAGAGGTGCCATGAATGAATATTAGCCAAAGGGGTAGTACATGTGTGTTTATTGCGTTTCATGGAGAAAACACTGCATGGCAGGTCCATTCTATTCAAACCAGAATCCGTAGCCTTCATGAACCAAACATCCTGAGAACAAACCGTTTGTTGCCTCTGCGTGGCGACTACTTGTCTCAAGCAAACATGACCATGTTCAAGTGTACCAGTGGCTTGAGGCTGCCAGCCTTACAACAGTTACCTCAGGGCTGAGTTGTTTGCGCACACATTGCTGGAGTTGGTTTGCATGTGCTGAAGAGCTAAACTCTGTGTACAATATCTAAGAGCTGCTGCAGCTATTGTGATGCTGTCGGTTGCGTTCACAGCGCCGCCCTTGATGAACATAAACCGCACACATGCAACATGCAACAGAAAAAGCTCAGTAGTCCCGGCTCTACGCATGTAATTAATTCATGTTTTTCCCCTGCACATGATTCATGCTGAGTATGGTTGAGCAACAGCACTGGTGTGGGGAATGTGTCCACATCATTGGCTTCCACCAAAGGTTGACAATCAAGCAAAGAGCTGATAAGGTTCTCTGCCAGAAGGTCAGAAGCCATATGCAGAAGCCTTCGGAACTAGATGTAGGGCCGATGTCGACGGGCAAGCGCCGGTCGGGCAAGCGGAGACTCGCCACCGGTCTGGGGTCACGCGCGCTTGGTGGCCAAGCTTTAGCAAGTAGCAATCATGGTCATTCCCACACGCCAGTGGGGGAACAGGACGTAGCAGGAGCCGACATCACGATGCAAAGCCTGCAAGATGCCAAAGCACTGGAAAAACGGCGAGGCTAGGAACTATGGTAGCCACCCCAAATGGCTTGAATGGCCACCCAGCCCCGATGCCCCACTCAAACCCGACTGGTCTTTGAAAGAACAGCGCCAAATGCAGCTACCAACGCCATTGTCCAATTCGCGGCCCTGATACAAGCCCTGATGCATTCGCCAATGTTTGTTGTCAGCTTCGTCGTGTCAGTGACACCGCGCTTTGGAGCGCCATGCGGTGGCTATGCTTTTGGGTGTGTGCAGGGCTGGCTTTCGGCAGCACCTTGGCAGAAGCAGAAATGGCGAGGCTTGAGGTTTTTGTTATGCACCCTTTCCCAAAACATTGCAACATAGAAACATGTTGGGGACCAACCAAGATGGTTGGTTTCCCTGGGGTACCTTTCTCATGACAACTAGGATCATGAATGCTCTGCTGTGGTGTTTTTTGTTTTTCCATCGAAGCCGTGTTTGCTTTGTCAAAATGTCCGTTCTTTGCACGGAAGTTCGGCTAACATAGCAACCGGGGGGCCGGGGGGAGGGATCGGTTGTATTCCCACCTATTCTTATCCCCCGAGTCGTGTCGGATTTGAACGGTACGCCCATGTTGGTTCATTTAAGTTGTGCTGTACCTGTTGCAATCCATGACAGAACCCTATGCAGCAAGCCAGAAATCGCCGGCGAACGTGCGGCATGGTGCGGCATGGGCAGTGGGGAATTCGATGCCTAAAAGGATGACAAAACGCCTCAACATGGCACTGAACACGGTTCATGCCATGTCAGCATATATGTTCCATATGTTAGCTGTCCGGCGGGTACACGTTCTCAAAGAATTCGGGCATGGGCGGATCGAATTAAGCACGTTTTGGCCATGCAAACCACTGTAGGAACTGCCATTTGAGGAGCTCTCGGAGCTTCCATGTGAATGAACTCAAGCGCGGGATTGCCCCGATAGAGTCACGTTCCATGTTCGCCAAACTGCCAAAGTTCAGAGTGAAATCTCGGGAAATGGCTGTGTATGACTAGTCCACGGTAGTTTGCGGCTAAACCAAGCCACTGGTTCACTTTCCATATTCTGCATCTCAGCCGTGGAGATTACGCTTGAAGCATACCCATCACCAACCAACATGGAGGTGCACTTTCTGTCTCTCCAACAGGCCATAGTCTTCCAAAGGCGTTTGCGCACTTCCTTTTGTTTGTTGGTGGAGAGTAATTCACACATAATATGAGTGTTTGAGAAAGAGTACCCTTGTGCATTCCTTTTGGATGCCGCCCAAGGGACATGCCTAGCCTAGCCAGGCAAAAGAGTCCAAGGCGACACGGCGGACCACAGAAAAAGGTTAAAGGGGGAACAAACACCGACAGCCAGTCTGAGTTGCCATGTTCACACTACCCTCCCCCAGACGAACATGGGTGTGGCTCAAATTTAAACAGCTAGGGTTACACAGGTTTAGTCTTTGCCAAGGGGCAATTTTGGTACAGTTATTTGAACCACACACACACACATGGAAGCTCCCAAGAGCCCTTTGGAAGATCTGAGGGAGTGGAAGCAGTAAGCGAGTGAAGCAACATGCTGCAGGTTTCCGGGCCGCGACGTTTTTTCTTTCTTTTCTTAGGCCAGGAGTACGAGCTCAAGGAGTGCCACGATGCCCCGGAGCGGAACGTCACCTGGTTGTTGTTGGGAAACATGTTTCCCATTTTGCTTATTGTGGTTTAGTGGTTGGAATCCAATCACTTTTGCTTATTGTGCTTTGGTTGAAATCCGACCACTTAACTGCTAAGATTTAATTGTTTGCTCCCTTACGTCAAGCAAGGTCATTTGCGTGGCCGTGCACTTCAGCAATAGATCCATGAAGGCGACCATCTCTTGCCAGGCGATGCGCCACGCAGAGACCATCGCCTGAAGTTCGGATTGGCCTCGACGGGAGCGACCAAAAGCCTCGGGCAACCTCTTGAACTCAACGCAAACCATCATTTGGGTATCAAGTGGGGAATCAATGCTCATGGTTGTTTTTGTTGGCTTTGTGAGCCGGAACATCAACCAAATCAGCGGGTAAGTGGGGAATCAGCTGCCCATGCTCATGGTAGCTAAAAAGCCGTGAGGTGGAACTGAGGAGAAATGAAATCGCAGCGGCGAAGAGTCCGTCAGCTGCGAAAGCTTGGGCTAACGCGCTCACAGCTAATTATTGGGTTGGATCTTTAGACTTTAACTTTTTGGGAAATCAAGGGCTTTTCCACTAAACCCCAAAAAAGTTAAACTTTTTGTAGGGGGGTCAACAGCAGCCAAGACAGGAGAATGCAGTTTTGCTTGAACGTTCCATGTCTCAGCTCAGGAGAGAGACAATCAAAACCGGGCAAGTGAAGGTTCCTATGGGACAGTCCCAGCCAGAATTAGGTTCGGCCGCCCATTGGTTTGGGACCATTTTTTCATGCGTGGTTTTGATTGACTCAGGAGAGATTCTGCTCCCTCATGGATGTCCATGATGCAGCTGCCGCAAGTGAGCTGCAACACATCTGCGGTGCTCCACTATGTAATTCAGAGCGGAGCCTTGCAAGCATGTTGGGTGGGACACCCGCAAAATGGGCGGTTTGTTGGTTCCTCTTGGTTTCCCCTTAAAAAACCAATCAACGGAGGGTTCCCTCAAAAAGGACGCCCATGCGGGGGTTGATCAATATGCCATTTACGGCCCCCAAATGACCATGGGTCATCTTAGTGGTTCTCCCCAATGGTCATCCCGTGTAAAAGGCCTTGTGATCAACCCACTCTAGGGCCCGTTGGCTTGGGAGAAAGTCAGACATCCAACTGAGAAAGTGTTCATGGCAGGCCTTGGCTTCGGGATAGACCACAGCGCATGTTTCCTTATGTACATGGATTTGGGTAGGCCATTTTGATATCAGGTTTTGATTGTGGCTCATGTTATCTTGCAGACCCGTGCCGTGCTGAGACAATATCCAGCCGGGCGGCAGATATGATGTCTTCTGCATCGACTGGCAGCTTGGATGAAAGCTTTGCGCAACTGCAATGGAAGCACCTAGCAAGAGCAGTTGAGCGCGACTTGCATATTGTTTGTCCGGATGGTCCCCCAGTAGTGCCCTTTTACCTTTTTTTTGGGGAGGGTTCCCTACTAAAATAGACTACAGACAAAAGTTGGTACCCTTATTCTAACCTGGAGGACCTAGGCAAGCTTTCCTCCAAACAGGAAGGTGAGATAGAAAGTTGAGCGTCGCCTGCCATCAGAAATCTGCAGGGCTTGAGGAAGCTTGTAAACGGACCGACCTTTGCGCAAGGAGTTCAGTCAGCCGAGCGTGGCCTGCACAATGCCTGAGAAAGAGTCAGGCAACCAGTGCTTTCCAAAGCATGTTTCCTCAGCGCCAGAGACTAGCAGCAGCTCAGTTTGAGCCCAGCTACCAAAGGCTCATGTGAACTTCCCTTCAGTTGCAGGTGGCAAGCCAATCACGCGGCGCGGCAAGCACTGCGTGATGTGCAAAGCCAAGGTTGAGCAGTTCCTATCCTCCCTTTGCCATTTTCCCAGCCTGCACGAAGAAGGGAGAGTGTGGACTGGAGACTTGGACGAGGAAGCCGTCAGTTTGACAGCCATTTGCATGTGTGTTCTTGGTTGTGCGTGCCTTGTGGCTGTTCCCGTTTTTTGTGGTTGTTTGTTTTTTGTGTTTGCGCGCCTAATTACTGTATGCAGGTTTGCTTGGGGCTGGCGTTGTGGCTGTTTCCGTCGTGTTTTTTTTGTGTTAGTGCGCGTATGCTGGTTTGCTTGGGACTGGTTGGCTGACTGCTTCCGGCTTGGCTAGCTGCTGTAGGTGACATGTGACACGGCCCCCGGCCCTCGCAGCCGTACGATTCCAGGAAGTCAAGACCACCACCGTCACCGGGGGCCGTATCCACACAGTCTTCGGTGTGGAGGACTTCTTCTGCGTGATGCTGCTGCTGGCGCCACCCGGACTCCTTCAAAACGGCGCGTGAGAATTTTGAATCCCGAAACGTCGAATGTAATACACTTGAAGAAAATTCGGCACCATGTGCTGGCATTTTGGGTGCCAGACGTGTCCAGCGACGGTTGGATGAAGCAAGCAGGGGCGGGCCAGGAGATGCCTCGGTGTGTTCCCAGGGGCCGTCTCATTTTGTGGCCTTGGATGCCTGGTGCGGGTTTTCTAGGAGCTTAGGATGCAGTGCGGGCTTTGAAACATATTGCCGTTAAGAGTCTAAGAACTGATGCCCAGAAATGGGTGATCAAATGTGGGAGGAGCTGCGTGATGCACTGCCAGTGGGAGCTGTTACGGTTGGCCTCGTTCCACCAGTCTCACGAGGTGTCCTTTTTTTGTTTTTTCTCCCGCGCCCAGCGGCACCACTGTAACAATCATGGAACTTCCTGTGCAAAATGAAGCTTGTTGTAGTTCTAAGATTATGGAAGGGAGTGTAAACCTTGCTGGTGCTCACCCCAGGTCAGGCGAGTGCGGGGGGGGGGGTCAGCCGCTGTGAGGTACGTGGGGTGGAGCTACGTCTTCGAGAAGTGCCGGGTACTGCACGAGACCGGGGCAGCGGTGTTGGTGGGACTGGTGGCGGGCCAAGTCATGAAGACCTGCTTCGGCACCACCGCCACCTTCAGTGGCCCGGCGGAACCCGGAGCGGAAGGGCAGCGCGGAAGAGCTGCGAAAGAGCTGCGAAAGAGCTGGTACCACATGAGCTGTACTGCTATTGGATTGGATCTTTAAACTTTAACTTTTGTCACATTTCCCTAAAGAACCAGCAAAAAGTTAAGCTTTTTGCGGAATCTACAGCACCCAAGTGAGGAACAGGGTGCTTGCTGCGCGTTCCTTTTGAAAACATGCATGTGACGCGGCGTCTGTCACTTGTTGAACATGCTGCATGGTAGCAAATTCATATCGTGGCAATGAAAATTCGGGATCTATGGCCTAGGCCTGTGTGTAAATATGATGTGAGGTTGTCTTCGTTAGGTCGTCTGATTGTTTCAGCTCTGCCCCAGTAGGGGGAAGTGATCCCAGTTGTCAAGTGGTACCCTTTTTTCCTTTCGTTGAGGAAGGGTTCCCCTTTAAAGTCAACCAACCGAAAAAGGATGCCCTTTTTTCCCCATGGCCACTGGAGTGGTGTATGAAACCCTGAGATGTTGACAGAATCCATTCAGCAAGGCCGCCTGGCACTGATCGCAAACATAGTGAAGCTTGTAGGCATGCACAAGTATATCTTCTCTACCGAGGCTATGACATGTTTAGCTACATCCTGCTGCCGATGGTGATTTTCGCCGCAGGGTTCAATCTAGACAAGAAGAAGTTCTTCCGCCTCTTGCCGTAAAAACGTGGGAGGCCTGCCTTTGCGTTTGATGTTTGGACTTGTTGAGTTCGCACCAGCCTGGACATGTGCGCAACTTGACCTGTTGCCAGTAGGTTTCCTGGACCAAATCGCACGTGCGTTACTGCCCTTCATATGTCACACCGCTGGGAGTTTGTTTCATTTGGTTGCCAGCCTGTGCAGAACTCTTAACCTCGAGCTTGCATCCAGGGCCACAGCAAACGCATGTCTTGATCATGCAAATCACTTTGGAACAAGTGCTTTCGCCACGCCGGGCAGAAATTAAGGGCTGAACCGAACCCCTTCTAAATGCATAAGTATGTTATATCAAGTAAATGCAGGTGCGTGCATTCTTACAGGAGATCAGCAGCGCGCGTTTGGAGGCTAGCCTTGAATCCCAGCGAACCGCTGTAGATCACGCGGTAAGCCCCTTGGAACGGCAGAGACCGGTGCCAGGCTTCGGCGGCTACATCCTCGCGCTGGGCGTGTCGGGCACGGTGCCTCTGACTGCGTGAAGTAAAGCGAGGGCAACGCCTTAGGCGTCCTCCGGACCAGGAGTGCGCCGCAAAGGGGCATAAACGGATCCCTCTCACCCCGAAAGAGCAAAGGGAAAGGTCCGTCAAGGGCAGGGCCGCTTTGGGCTGATGAGGTGGAAACTCTGGCCCCTGTTGACTGCTTGTTGGGGCTGACTTGTCGTGGATCGCAATTGTGCCGAAACTTATAGATGTGTACGGAGTAACACACGCACACACACACACACACACCGCTGCAGGTAGTTTAAGGACAAGGATCTTATTTGAATTGGTTTCGGCAGGGTAGCACGCTCCGGGGTGCTGTGACTCATTAAGTCTAAGAATCGCTTTGCGTGATGTGCAGTAGCCCTGGCAGCCTGGTATCCATGCCGGAACCGAAACCAATTGTGAAACCAGTGTGCTCGAAGGCTTCCTGACATCTACATCACGAAGGTCAATTCTGGGCTTCTTCCTTCCCAACCATTTGCAGATGTGAGTTGCAATCTTTTTTGCGGATAGTCAGTTTCTTGTTGGGGTGCTCAAAGCGAAACAGTTGGTTGGACGCAAAGGGTAAAGAGAAGATGTGTGCGCGAAACAGAGCAGGCACAACTGGGAGAACAACAACAGTTGTGACACGGCAGCCAGATCCCTGTGATGGACCCCAATGAGAGCCAGCCAGGTGCAGCAGGGTTGCAACACTGGGTGTTGACATTGCCCACGGTTGTGCCAAGTTTGTTTTGAATATCATCATTCCCACAGCTCGGCCTTGCGAGTGGGCCATGGCATACATCATTCAGCTTGTTCGCGGTTGGGTCTTTCGCCTTCACCCGTTCGCGAGCAGGGGTATTTTCGCAGCCCACGAGTGATACAAACTTGAGTGGTGTGCAGCTCTAAAACATTAGCTTGCGTGAGAACAGCGCAAGCTCTTAACCTGGGAATCGATTCATTGGTATAATGTTGACCCAGGATGAATAAACCCGTCCCATTATTAGGGGGGTGTTCCCTCCAAAAGTGATGAATCCCCACCAAAAGGACCCCCCTATCATTCAACAAGGGGTTTATGAATCTGGGGTTAACATTAGAGACCCCCAGTGGTGCCCATTTACCCTTTTTTGGCTGAGGGTTCCCCTATCAAAACAGACTACAGAAGGAAAAAAAGCTCGGGTACCCTTATTCTAACCTCTCTACTGGAGGAAGTCCCCTCCAAAAGTGATGAAACCCCACTAAAAGGGGACACTCCTGAATAAAAATCAACAAGAAGTAATCCGGGGTTATTAGAGAGTCGCTGAGGTGTGCATTTTCCTGTTGATCTATTTCGGCTCGACGCTCTTCACCATCCGCCCCACCAACGGGGAAGACCCCTACCAGCTGCCTGCACAGAGCCGCCTCATCCTGGCGTCCGTGCTGGCGTCCACCGTGGCCTGGCCGCGGCGGATTGGTTGGGGTTTGTTTCTCCCAGTATTCCTGGAGCTTCACCCATAAGTGGCGCAAAATGTAAAAGCCTAGAGTTCTGCAACCATCCCGGTGCGACATGCACACAACACAAAGTGTCAATTGTTCATTGCGCTCTCGTAATATAAAAGGTTTTGCTTCTGTTGTATCAGTGAGGCTTAGAGCCATCCGACTTGTTCTGTCCCAAGTTTCAACCTGCTCGCAAAAACAAAAGAAGCGGATGTGTAGATTGCTGCAGTCTGTGGCTGGGCTTGTGTGTGCGCTCACGCTCGCCGGCTAAATTGTTGGGGACATGCCTTGAATGAAGCTGAGCGAGCGACAGCAAAGACTGCAAAGTCAGGAGGCCAGGTCTTCTCCGACTGTTTGGCTTTGTGCCAGGTGGTTGGGCTGAATTCAGCCAATGGTCAGCAATCCAAGATCCAAATGTCTAGTAGTGTCCTGGTTGATCAAGATTGGAGAGGCTTTGCGGCAATATTGTTGGAAGTGTGGCGATCCAATTGGATGGGAATGTGCTTTGTTCTTGCTTGAGCTCACACACCCCGCAGAAACGTGACCATACACGTGTGACGCGGGTTGCTGGGTGGGGGTGTGGGTTTTGCCTGGGCCGGATACACCCAAGAACAGACATTTGAAATTCATGGTGCGTGAATTTGTTGCGTGCATTTCTTCTGATAATTTAAGCTGAACCCGCAATCTAAAAAGGAAAAGCATGCAAGCATCGACTGGCCTGATGATGCAACAAATGCCGAAGACCGGGCAGCGTGTGAATCTTAGATGACAGATGAATGCCAACCACATCACCCTTTGCCTAATCCAAGGCAAGTGCTTATTTTTGGAATACCGGGCACTACATCTTTGTGTGTTGGCTAGAGTTCGCTATTTCTGTTGCCAAGCATGTTTACGACTTGCCTCCGCTTGCTGTGCAATGTTCGCGCCCAGGACACGGTTGCCCCAATGGCTTTCATCTCAGCCGCGGACTTCCCACAGCTGCAACATGGTCCAGAGTCGGACACTGACGGTGGTACGATGGCCCTTCGGTTGTCTTCAGTCCCTGGGGCGCGAAACCGTGAGGCTATGTTGCCATTGCTTCGGCCCTAAACCAGGCATAGCGCACACGAAGAATGTGTGTAAGGTAGTATTTAGGTTCTTGCAGTAAACAGAGTGTGGCTCAAACAGAGCGTGGCTCTTTCTGGATGCTTCTTTGTTGCACGCAGTCAAGATAGCTCGGAACCTTTTCAACCAACGACCAAGCTGGGTCCCCTCCCGGTTTCCCAAGTGTCGCTTGGAATTCGGTAGGGTCCAGCGCTTCTTAGCAGCGAGGAATGAACAGCATCTGGAGAAACAGCAGTGAAGAGCTGGACTCAAACGTTGGACCTGAGGTATGCCGTTGTCTTTGGAGAGGGGGTGTTGAATGACGTGGTGTCAATTCTCTTGAGCACCTCTGTGGAGGATGCGACCGCCTTACCGCCCATGCCCCTTGGACAGTTCTGGGTGACATGCGACGAAGCTCACTGCAGGTAAGTCACGGGGTCGGTTGCCTTCAAGAAGCAGTTGTCGGGGGGAGGTTTCCAAGGGGGTTCCAACAGCGGATGCGTGTCCCTTTCTTGGGCAAACTGGTTTCAGGTTAGAGCCTATTCTTTTGGGCTAGTATTGCCATATGGGTATGGGCCAAAATTAAACCACCAGGGGACCGCAGGTTTACTCCTTGGTTCCATTTGCCAGGTTGCATTTTGGGTACCTATGTTCGACCCATGGCCATATCCGATTGTCATCGGGTACCACAGCTGCTTAAAGGTGTCACTGTTGCACTCGTGCTCAAACAGATCTCCACGAGTTTGCCTTGTGGGGCTTGCTTCCTTTGAAATAGTATAGATTGCAATGGCTCATTTTCAGAGCCATAGTTGTGTCCAATCATTTCCCTCAAAACCGAATTTGTGGGTCAATTGCTCATCAGATGTCAGTTGCAGCAGGCTGGGTCAATTTCTGGGTCAGCATAGTCCTCCATTTGCATACAAATATGTCATATTTTCGCCTGTTGATTTTAAGGGAATCTATCACTACTGGACAAACTATATTTTTCCAGGTGGCCTATCCTGTTGATGCTCAGTAGGGAATGTGGGAATGAACCCAGGCGTTGGTCCCCAAGGAAACCACCAGTTGGATGGTGTTATAAGGGTCATTCCATTTCTCATTCCCTGCATCTCTCGCACCGAGCGCAAGTTCAGCAACTGGCAGTGTTTCGCTTCCATCGCTTTGGGAGATTTCTCAGAGGTCTTGCAAATTTGGCTTGGGGATTTTGAGTTGAACCTCTGGTGAATCAATGGTGTTTTTGGGGGCATGTACTTTTATCATAGCAGTTTGTAGTATGCCTTTACCCAACGCGGTATCTGGCTCAAGATTTGTTTCCGGCGGAAAACTCCGCTAGCACGTCACTCGCGCCATTCTGGCGCTGCCACCGCTCTCGCTGCAAAAGTGCGGCGGGCCTGGTTGGCGGCGAGGTGGCTAAGGTGGTGCTAGGTCGGGGCTATTTCTGGGAAATTGCATTGTTGCTGCTGCTCCGCTTTTGCTTGGTTAATTGCTTTGCTCGCTTGCTTGCTGCGCTCGCTTGGTTGGCTGCGCTGGTCCCCTTTCCTGTTTGGGTTTTGCGGTTAAACAGGATCCCCCGTTTGTTATCTGTGTGGTTCATTGCCAGCCGAGGGCACCACTTTGCCCGTGGGACTGGGGGGCTTAAACTGTCTCTTCTTGTTGGTGGGTTAGGGCCTGTTTATTCTCTCCCGAAATACTGTTTCAAACCCTTTCGCAGGTTATCAGCCGTAGGATTCGTCCTCGGTTGGCACCGCGAACCCCATTTAATAACAACCCTGCAGGCGCCGTTTTCCATAGGCTACTGTAGGACTCATGGCGGGAATCACCGAGGATGGACCTCATGTGGTGACCGATGAGTGGGTTCTCGGCCAGGCCGGAATCTTGGACGTTGTGAATGACGACCAAGTGCCCGGACAGCCGATGTTTTCCGGTCCTGACTTTTTGTCGGACCACACTTTTTCAGAAGCAATGCCTTCAGGAGATCCAGTGCTACTCGCACTGATGATCTATCGTCTAATGCCTCAAGAGCTAATCGCTCTCAGGGTCATGGGTCTAATCGTCCTGACCATGATGATTCCGTCTCAGGACGTGATGATGACGAGCCCGGTATTGCACCTGGAGCTCAATCCTCATCTTTCCCCGAGCTGATGAATATTGGTCAGTCCGAAACTCGTGACTCCCGAGGCAGCAGTAGACCTGTGCCAACCAGTAGTATAGTTTTTCAAGCGCTCGGTGATCCCGAACCTGGTACATCCAGTGGAGTTGCATTTGACGTTCATCTGCCGACCGAATCCGGTGGGCTAGATTGGAGAGCCTCATGGCCCAACGATGGAAACATTTTTGGTATGGATTTTGCCGCATGGATGCCAGGGCCACCCGCCCCGTCATCTTTCCCGCAATTCCAAAGCCCAAAACGGGCTGCTGGAAGCGATGAATTCATGCTACCTTTGTCGATTGAGAATCTCAATCCTGACGTGGCCAGCCGTAACGTCAGGCCAAGGCCGTCGGTAAACCCGACCATGAGGAACATGTCCCCTCCCCCAGGACTTTCAGGATTTGAGAGCCCTAGGGAGCGTAATATCGTAGATAGATTGGATTTGCATCCCAGTCCAACCCCAAGCAAACGATCAAGGTCAAATTCGACTGGATCGCATAGGGCTAGGGGGATGGATCGGGAAACTGCCCATAGGGTTAACCCCAATACGCGGGACTCAGGACGCGGTCGATCAGGTGACCCAGCGTCGATCGTTGGTAGAGATCCGCTAAACGCGGACACGTTGATTAACGTGCTTGATGGGATCGAAGCATTCCAGGAGGAATTCAATAGGTCGAGTGGCCCGAATGTGCAGCCTTTTCGCCCTACGCCCAATGCGGCTTCCTTTCTCGCCATTGACAACACAGACGGAGCTGATGTTCCGATTGAGTCTGAATCCATGATGGCATCAAGTTCCAATCACAACAACACCGTCGGCAGCGCTACCGATGTTGAATCAATGTCTGAGTCTAGAGCGTCCAATGCGACTGATTTGCATGACGTTGTCATTGCTGATATGAAGCCTGAAGTTCCTATGCGGACTGATAGGCCGGTAGTTCCCAAATTGTTTGTGACAAAGGGTCTAGGCATGCCACAGCCATCAGCTGTTCGTGATGCCAGAAGATCTGCACCGTATCAGAGTCAGTCTCCGAATCGGAGCGAGTTCCCACGGCCATCAACGGCAGTACAAGATGATTTCAGGACACCTCCGAGATCTAATCCGATCATGGTTGATTTGTCCACCCCTCGAGATCGCGGATCAGGATTTGGTCCTGCGAGTGAGGAGCAACCCAACGAGGTTGCTGATCTTGTAACAGCCCTTGAAAGAGGGAGAGTGGACCCTTCGGTAAGTGCGATCATTCATCGCCTGGTTGCTAAGGTCGAAGACCTTGGGCGTAGGAATGATAGAAGTGATCAATGCATCAAGCAGCTCTCCACTGAGGTTAACTCGTGGAGGGCCAAATACGACCAATGCGTCCATGTGAATAGCACGTGTACGCAGGCTGCGAACGCGGCCATGCAGCTGTCACAAGGGACTAAGGACATCGTGACCGAGCTTGGCCAACGCGTCAAGATCGTTTCCAATCGCATGACAAGCATAGGCGATGCCCTAAATGAGCGAGCCAGCTATGATGATGTTGCTCGCTCCATCACCCAAGTTCAAACTGTTTTTGAATCTCTTTCTGATCGAGTAACCGGGCTTATAGCTCGTGTTGATATGATCGAGAGATCTCTAGTGGAGAGCCAATCCAACCATCCTGCGATTGGTGGAGTAAACCTCAAAATCGAGGACCTGTCCACTAGGGTATGTCAGATTGATAGGATGATGCAAGATGTCGAACAATGCTGGACCAATAATAGGGACGGCATAAAGTGGGTTAAAGACCAACTTTATGAGACACAAGCCAACCTTGAGATAAAGTCGAGGGACTGCAAGTCCTACACGGACAAGCAAAATACTCATAACATGGCCGTTTCGACTACGCTCAACAGTAAGCTCGAGCAAATGCTCGAGGTGCTGGGTAATACGGCCCAGAGAATTAACTCCCTCGAGTCAAGGCACTCGAATCAGGCATCAAGTAGTGGATTGAACGATCGCACAGGAGGAAGGCGTGCCGCGTCCCGTACTCCGGATAAGCGGCCACCTCCACCTGGCCCTCCTGATGATGATCCTCCACCACCTCCTCCTCCAGATCGGCAAAGCCCAGGAGGAGGGGGGAAGAAGAGTGCCGCCGGTGGGAACCCTGGCGACCCTGGTAAACCCAGATGTAAATACGTAGGTGATGGTTATAATCACCTCATGGCCGAGTTTCACTGCAAAGGATGCAGAGGTGATATTTGTGAGTATTGTTTCTCGTTCAAAGAGAACTTGTGTGAAGAATGTTCCCGTAACGGACCCCGATGCGGTGTCTGTAGGGAGAGCTCGTTCCTGACCAAGGGAATTGAGTGTCAGTTTTGCAAGACCTACTACTGCACCAGACATTCTGCTGGGCAGGATGACTACAGGAGATTTGGATTTGTCCAGGGTCCCTGTTGTCTTGCGTGCCTCAGGGATGAAACTAGGAGAAGAAGGGATCCCGATGGTAACCGTGTCAAGAATAGATCGCCTGGAGGCGTACCTGAGACGAACCCGACGCGGTCGTACTCTCCGCCTCTGCGGCCACCCGTTGATAGATTCCGTGACACTCCAACTGGGGGTCAACCCAACGCGGCTGACCTTCAGAGTCCTCCGAAGGCTACGCAACCCGTGCCCCTGGATAAACGTGAAACCGGATATTATCCAGGATTCGATCCAAACGGTACAAGGCCGAAGGATCCTTCAGGCCTTGAGCCGCCGACCATGCGTGGCCCCGATCCTCCTGACAAGAAATGTCGGATGTGTGATCGGGATATTCCTGACCCCAGCAAAATTGAGGAATGTAAGATATGCATGTGAAATTTGCATTCCGAAGGCTACTCGCCTTTGTCCTGTATGTGCATTGTCAATCGGTAGTTCTCAGGTTCCACAGCATCTTTTCGGAACTGGTGGCGGCGGGTACGGTAGCCACCATGATCCGAACTGTACAGCTGCGACTAAATGCATTCCCATAGACCTCCCGCCGGAGCCCGACGCGGCTGGGCTGAGGGTATGGATAGCCAATATGAAGGAAGCTGTTAGCAATGCCTACAGCTATGATGGTCTTTACGTCATCAATTGGCTAACTGAAGTCGAGAAGGCAAAGACCTTTGAAGAACTGGATGGGGAATGTAAATACCACATCCTTGAAGCCAGGTTCAATGCAGCCATCCGGAAGTGCATCAAGACTGTTGCAATTATCGATAAGATTAATCGTCTCACCGAAGCCGCTCAAC